CCCCACTGCGCATGTGCGCAGCGCCCCCTGCCAGAGCGCGGGAAAGCAGCGATGGGCTTGACCACCAGAGGGCACTGGGGGGGTGTCTGTAACGGCCCCGGGGCTCCGGTGGGAGGCCTGGAACCCCCCTCGGGGCTCCGGTGTGAGGCCTGGAACTCCCCAGGCTCCGACGTGAGGCCTGTGACAACCTTGGGGCTCCGGTGTGAGGCCTGGAGCCCCCCTCGGGGCTCCACAGCCCACTGTGCCCACCGCAGCCCCGCCAGAGAGAAGCCTCCACTTTCGTGTGATTATAAATAACTTTATTGCTGCTGTGCTGGGGGTGGACTGGGTGTCTGGACAAGCAAAGGGACGCACAGGGTGCTGTGACAGACCTGTCCCCCCACTTCCCCTGCCACCCGTGCTGGCAGGGGCTCATCTGCCCTGCTCCTGCAGCCGCTGCATCCTCAGGATCTGGCACAAGAGTCTCTGCACGTCTTCGTCCATGTGGCCCTGGGGTGGAGGAGACATTGGTGGGCACATGGAGTGGGGACAGCTCCATGCGTGTCCCCGGGCTGGCACCTGTCCCAGCCTCCACGCCAGTGTCCCCAGCCCTGTCCCCATCTCACCTGTACAGCATAGAGCAGGTGGCTCCGGTACAGCGTCACCACCTTGCTGTGCCTCGTCTCTGTCTCCTGCAGCACAGGGAGGGGGTTTGGCCACAGGGCTGGGTGCTCGGGGGAGCCCCGAACCCAGCAGGTGACCCACCTCCAGCTTCTCCTCCAGCGCCCGGATCTGGGCCTGGAGCGCGGCCGTGTTGGGTGGGGATTCTGGAGGCCCCCCTGACTCAGGGAGGGCGTTCAGGGCTTCCTTCAGCCTGAAAACCTCCTTGGAGAGCTCCGTGATCTGCACAGGGCATAGGGGTTACAGGTTACCCAGAGCAGCTGTGGCTGCTCCCAGATCCCTGGAAGTGTCCAAGGCCAGGCTGGACGGGGCTTGGAGCAGCCTGGGACAGTGGAAGGTGTCCCTGCCATGGCAGGGGGTGGAATGGGATAAGCTTTAAGGTCCCTTCCAGCCCAAATTCAGTGACTCCACATGTGTGGCCGAGCGGCCCCTCACGGTTCCCTGTCCCCTACCTTCCTGTCCCTGTCCCTGACCAGCCGTGCCGCATCTTCAGCGTGGCCATGCAGCTCCCGCAGCCGCCGCGCCTCGTCCTGGGCCTGCTCCAGCTGCTTCTGCACGGCGCCCAGCCTGTCCTCCGCCGCCTGCCGCTCGCTCTTCATGAACAGCGCCTGCCGCTGCACGCGGAACACCTCCTCGCACGTCTTCTCGTGCCGCCGCTCCAGCTCCTGCAGCCGTTTCGCCAGCGCCGCCGCCTCCGCCCTCAGCCCGGCCTCGGCCGCCT